CTCTCTCTCTCTCTCTCTCTCTCTCTCTCTCTCTCTCTCTCTCTCTCTCTCTCTCTCTCTCTCACACACACACACACACACACACACACACCGTACTAGCAGTCATGCCATTGGGTGTCCATGGCTGAGTGGGTGTGTAGAGTGGGTTTTATGACTGTGTCAGATTAGTTTCTCAGACTTACTACCGTTCTTGTCAAGGGTTTGGACCGGCAGTCTGCTAGGATTGCCAGGTTGGTGTGAGTAAAGTCGACGACTTTTCTTTCTCAGGGATGGGTGTCGCTAACACTGGGCGATGTGGTGAGTCCTTAATACTCCTTATCCATCAGTCAAATGAATCCTGGGCAGACTGTCGGGGTTCAACCTCCTGATGAGTCGGTGAAAGTCCAACGAAACAGTCTGGCACAGTCATGCTTTTTTCAAGTGTATAGCGAATATGACAACACACACACACGCACGCACAACTTTTTTTTTTTTTTTTCCCTGCATGTGCACGTGGACCACTCTCTCGCGCATGGCGCACAGCGCACCATAGCAGTGTGCCGCAACTATGGTTTGTATCCCTTTCTTAATTGTGTTCAATTTTGCTTTCTTTGGGGTACCCCTTTCATTTGTTCTTGCAGCTCCCCTTTTACTGTGCCTCTCATGTACACGGCTCACCACGTTGATTACGGTTGAGCGCGAGCTGCCCACATCCCCGTGTGCCACAGCGGCCCACTTGCAATTTTGGATCTACTCATCTGGGTGGAAAAGGGGCTGTTGTGGTGACAGTGTAAGACACACACACACACACACACACACACACACACACACACACACACACAAACACAACACGCACTCTGTGTCTCTGTTTATGTCTGTGTTGTGTTTGTGTTTGTGTGTGCGTCTTACACCCTCCGCAGATCCAGGCCGGTTCGGGCGTGGAGGTGGAAGAATCCCATCCAATTCTCACAGTTTCTGTTGCTGCATCGGATGGCACAGAGTAGACAGATGTCACTGGCAAAATGACTCTCACGTGCCAGGAACACAGAGGCACGCCAACTGCAATTGTATAGGCGTTTCCATTCCAGCCCGTCTACAAGCAGAACATACCATGCCAGGGTGATGTACATGAGTAAAATGTTGACTATTATCGAATGTATGAAAACAGAGACTTCCATGGGCTGTACCCTCAGAGTCCTCCACACACAAAGCATGCCAATCATGTGCGTGCCGGATCTCAGATGGGCCATCACAATGCGGCATTGAGCAAGTTTCTTTGGGGATCTGCAGCCAACATTCCCTCTATG